GCTCAGCCAAAGGACTGCGTGTGTAGGGGTTTGTTTTGAACTTAAAAGCAGAAGTGGAAAAAATATGGGTTTCCAAAATTCCGTATTCTGTAACCCCCGCCCCCCCCCCTGCAGCGTATCTTAGGGGATCCCTGGAGCAGCCTTAACCCTGATGCTTCTCGGTGGGAGGGATGGGGCGGAGCAGCTGGAAGGCTGGTGGGCTGACAGCCTCTCGGCGCGGTCGGAGCGCCCTCTAGCGGCGAAGCGAGTCATGGCCCTGAGCATGGGTTCACCAAGTGCCTTTTACTTCAGGTTCTTTTTCCCTGAGCTGCCTATGGGCCTAACAGTGCTGAACCCTGTGCATGAATTGTTTTAATTTTTTCAACAACCTTGTGAAGTGGGGAGTATTTTTATCCGCATTTACAGATGAAAAAGTCAAGGCCCAGAGAAGGGGAACAACCCACCTGAGATCCTTGTAGTCATGGCTGACCTCATCCTTTTTCTTCCTTGAGTACATGTCAGATTAAAGGGAGCAGGCGGACGCACTCTGGGTGCAGAGGCAGACAGTAGCACTTTGATCTAGATCTTACAAAACAGGTAGCACAAGAGTGATAAAGATACCTGTGAGGGGCTGTGGAGGCAGCTGGAACCGGGCCCACTGCTGGGATGTGCTGGGAGCCTTGACAGTCATCAGATTACACCCAAACAGCACTTTCTGCCAGGAACCACTCTGTAGGGAGCAGGAGCCTGCAATAGGCTCCATTGTCCCCATTTCATACCTGAGAAGACAGACCCAAGAGGTTAAGTTAAATAACACATTAGAGAGTTTCTAACCCCTCAGCCAGGGCTGCCACACCCCCCCCCCCCCCGGGGCCAGAAGCATGTTGGCAGTGGTCACTTTTAACTCACCAGGCAGATAGACTTGTATTCAGTATTTTATAAAGATATTTAAAAATTATAAAGTAAGAAATGTTTCTGGTAGAAAATTTGGAAAGCATGCCTTAGAAGGAGATGCTTGCTCACTGACTCAGCACCCATGGACAAATGAATTGAGTGCTTGTTGCATCCAGGCCTGTGCCGAGCAGGTGCTGTACACCATGAGGTACCCCAGGAGTGCCCCTGGGGTGGGGCCTGTCATGATTGTACAGACAGGAAAAATGAGACTGGGGGTTCCTCCTGCATCTGCAGTTTACCCATGCTCTGCCGCTCCCCTGCATCACTGCTGGACTCGGGTCTGGGATTGGGCAGGACACAGGGAGAAGCACCAGTCCCCTGAGGGTGAGAAAGAGCAGAGACCCCCTAAGCTCCATGGGGATGTTCTCGCAGCTAAGACCCTGTTTGCCAGCAGAAAGCTTCTCTCTGCCTTTGTCTGGGAAGGGGTGTGAGTGGTCGGATCCCTGGGGAGCTCAGCTGGCTGGGAGCCGGTGGCATTGGCCTTGTGTGCTGCCACCTGGTGGCCAGAGGAATTGTTGAGCAGGCAGCCCCAGGAGGCCCCAAATTGGGTGGGGAGACCAGATAGAGCTGAAGTGTACTTCTGCACCCTGGGGTGTGAGGGTCATGTTCTGAGCCACCCTTGGTCAGCTGGAAGGTCATGGTTAGTCTAGTCCTGTCAGGACACACGGTTACCTCCCTGGGAGGCTGAGCCTCCACGCTGTGGGGAGTAGGAGGTGGCAAGACCCTGGAACACAGCCCCACCTTAGGGTCACCCTGATTGTGGGGATGTGAACTACCTCTCTGCTCCCACCCGCATCCAGGCAGTCATTGCCTAAGTTCTCTGTCCCCATCCATGGCTGCCAGCCCTGGTACACTCTGAATTCTGTCACTCCCTGGAGTGGGCCCATAGCCTCTCTGCCTCTACCCTGTGTCCCTGTCTTCTCGGGGCCACCCTCACTGTGGATCTGCTTGGGCACCCTGAGTACTCAGTAAGACCATGGTGCTCTCCTCTTAGGCTTCAGGGCCAGGCTTGATGATACCTCCTTCAGGTGGGGGGTTGTCTTCTCACCTGTCCTCCCGCTCCCTGCGCTGCCCCGCCCCCTGTGCTGCCCCGCCCCCTGCTGCTGTGCGCCCAGCCCTCATTGAGAGGATGGTGCCCTGTTTTTTGTCACTGCAGACCTGAGCAGCTGGCCTTGACTCTTTTTTTAAAAAAAAATATTTTTTCAGTTGTTAATGGACCTTTATTTTATTCATTTATTTATATGCAGTGTCTCACACAGGCTAGGCAAATGCTCTACCCCTGAGCCACGACCCCAGTCCCTGGCCTTGACTCTTTAGTATCTTTCTTAGCAAAGGAAGGACAGGCCACCAGGGACAGCTTATATGGCTTTGGGAGTCCCTTGCTCACTCTCCATTTGGTGTCCTCTGACAGTAGATGGGTTGGACTAAGAGCTGGGTTTCTCAAGGGTCCTATTGGACCTCCCTTGAGGTGGCAGATCCACTGCAGAGCCCTGGGGCTTTGGAGAGATTCCATACCTGGGAGGACAGCTGGGTCCAGGAGCCTGGGAGTTCTCCTGGCTGCCCACAGTCCTCTGCCGCACTCCAGCTCATTCTAAGCCAGGCCTGGGGGAGGGGGGAATGGGGCTGGAGTTGGCCAATCAAAGGCAAGAGAATGGGAACCTGGGGACAGTACAAATGCATCAGCAGGACTGAGGTGCCAGGGGAGCAGGGAGGACCTACCCCTCTTTCATGTCACTGAGAATTGTAAGAACTGGCGCCCCCCCCCCCAAGGGTCGTGATTGTTGACAGGGTGGCCCTCAGCGGAGCCATGAAGGCGGGGCCAGCAAGACTGTAGGTCACCTTAGGCAAGTGGAGTCCCCTCCTGGACTTGTCTCCTGTTCTGAGTAAGGGTCATAAGTACCAGTGTTCTCTTGCCTGCTCTCAGCTGGTTTCCTGAGACCGTGCTCAGGGCTGGCTGTGCAAGGTGTGGGAGGTCAGCGGGCCCTGAGGTCCCATCCACGCCCCTCTGCCCGCAGGCCCGGGCGCAGGCAGAGGCCCTCCGCATCAGTGATGTGCATTTCTCTGTCAAGCCGAGCGCCAGCGCCTCCTCGCCCAAGCTGCACTCCAGCGCAGCTGTGCACCGGCTCAAGAAGGACATCCGCCGCTGCCACCGCATGTCCCGCCGCCCCCTGCCCCGCCCAGACCCCCAAGGAGGCAGCCCTGGCCTGCGCCCACCCATCTCGCCCTTCTCCGAAACCGTGCGGATCATCAATCGCAAGGTGAAGCCCCGCGAGCCCAAACGGAATCGCATCATCCTCAACCTGAAGGTGATCGACAAAGGCCCTGGCGCAGGGGCTGCCGCGCAGGGCGCGGGGGCACTTGCCCGTCCCAAAGTCCCATCGAGGAACCGCGTCATAGGCAAGAGTAAGAAGTTCAGCGAGAGCGTCCTGCGCACCCAGATCCGCCACATGAAGTTCGGCACCTTCTCACTGTACAAGCCCCCGCCTGCCCCTCTGTCCCCCCCGCCTGCCGGCAAAGCCGACGGCCCCGCCGCCCCCGGCCAGGGGCTGCTCCTGGCCAACCCTGCTGCCCCCTACGATGCTCACAGCTCCAGCTCCTCGGGCTGCCCCTCGCCCACACTGCAGTCCTCTGACCCTGATGATACGCCCCCCAAGCTGCTCCCTGAGACCATGAGCTCCCCCGCCCCCACCTGGCCCGAGCCAGAGGTGCTCGACCTGTCCATTCCCCCGGAGTCGGCAGCCACCAGCAAGCGGGCACCTCCTGATGTCACTGCTGCCGCCACCCAGGCACTTCCAGTGGCCCCAGAGCCTTCCAGTGCTGCCTCTGAGCCTGAGGCTGGGGATTGGCGTCCTGAGATGTCACCCTGCTCCAATGTGGTTGTCACCGATGTCACCAGCAACCTCCTGACGGTCACTATCAAGGAATTCTGCAACCCTGAGGATTTCGAGAAGGTGGCTGCTGGGGTAGCAGGCGCTGTGGCCGGAGGTGGCAGCAGTGTGGTGAGCAAGTGAAGGGCCCCCCAAGGAGGAGGGCAGGGGGGCCTCCTGCCTGAAGTCACACCTGTGCTCCTGCCCTACCCCTGCCCTCAGATCCGTCTGCCTGTGCTTTGCTTGTCTCAAATGGCTCCGTGCTGACCCAGGGATGGGGTTGGGCAGTTGGCCTCCCAGAGGCCAGTGGGCGGGGCAGTCTGGGTTAGGTCAAGTCTGCGACAGGGCACGCGCTTGTCTCTTGGTACTGCCCCTACCTGTGTGCAGTGGGCCTGCTGGGCTTCTAGGAGCCCCAGGCCTGGCCACCTGCCCTAGCTACATCCCGCTCCATCTCCCCTCTGCTTGCTTCTTGCTCGTGTACAGCGTCTGACCTCGGTGCTAACCCAGCAGCTGCAGGTCCCTCGGAGACCCCCACCCAGGGTGGGCATGGTCCCTTTTCTTCCTGCAGATGCCTAGCAGGAGGGGGCAGGGATGGCTCCCTGCCCGTTTGGCAAAGCCCCAGACAGTGAAGGAGGAGACCAGATGGGCCCCTCCCGCTCCACTAGTGAGGGCACAGCAGCTGGGCCAGAGGCCGGGCCTCACTGCCTGCTTCTGGACCAGGCCCAAGCAGGCCCCTTGTGCCCCACTGTGTCCGCTTCCCATCCCTGTCTTGAAGGCGGGAGGAGCTGGTAGAGTGCACCCTGCCACAGCCTCCTGGCATCTAAAGGCCCCTTCAGTTCTTGACCAAAGGTGCTACAAGAACCTGCTGTGGAAGGTTCGGTTGAGTGTGCATCTGCCCGTTGGCGTGTGTGTACGAGGGTCCATGTGGGCATCGGGTGCTGGGCCATGGGCCCTCCCTGCGGCACCCTTTGCAGCTCCTCAGAACAGGGTCCCTGAAGGCCTGGTCCTTCCCTTTCTTCGGGCCTGGAACAGTCGTGTCTGGGCAGTGTATTGTGCCCTTGCCCGGCTTCTCCCTGCCCAGTGTGCTAGGGTCACCGAGCCCAGACCCTTCTCTTTGGGGTGGTCAGCCCGGCCAGCTGGGCCTTCACTGCAGACCTGGCATGGTGGGAACTGTGGGCGAACATGGGGAGCCCCACTTCAGCCTCACCCTCCTCCAGGTTGGGGGAGGGGGGCCTGGAGAGCTGCGAGGGCCTCCCGCTTCTCCCCGCCCTCTGCTTCTGACGCTGAGGCTTTCTCTCAGCCCAGCCTGCTCGGAGCAGCGGGGGCCTCGGGGCTCCTAGGCAGCGTCTGTTGCCCCTGCTGCCAGGGAGCCAGGCACCTATGCCAGAGACCAAAGCCCCAGCTTTAGGCCAGGCACTGGGAGAGTGGACTGCAGGGACCGGAGACTGCAGAGGAGCCTGTGTTCCGGAGAACAAGGGTATTGTCCCCTGGGGTGAGGCTGGGGGCCCCTGGCAGCCCACTCTTGGCCACTGCCAGGGACGAAGGTGGATGTGGATGGCAATTTCTGCATGTGGCTTAAACTGGGTCCCTCTATGTGACGCCCTTGGTACCTTGCTCGGAAGCAAGATGGCAAGAGGCAGGAGGGGAGCCCGTCAGATACTGAGCAAGCTCCTTGGTCCCTTGGGAGGACACTCTTCTGAATCTCCCTGCTGGGGGCTGCAGCATGGCCCCCCCAGCGCACCCTTGGGGTGCAGAACAGGGGCTCCCACAGGGTCTGAGGTGGCAGCACTCCAAGTCCCTCCCCACCCCGCCCTTTGGGCTCTGCGACCGTCCAAGTGCCAATTGGCTTTTCCCCAAAATAAGGGCTGGTATTTCTCCTCTGCCTTCAGAGGTGACTCCCCCAGCCCTTCCCCAGGTGAGCCACCACCTGGGCCAGTTACAGGTGTTTCCAGAGACCATGGAAATGTGTTTTCCTGAGAATCTGTGTAATTCGTGACCTTTTTTGTAAGGAAGTTGTGTTTTCAGAGGTGATTTTATGACAGGAAAGTGAAAGAATTAGTTTTTCAAAAAATGAAGAAAAAAGAAAAAAAAGAGAAAAAAAGAAATAGAAAAAACTATCATGGGGTTCCTAAGGGAGTGGGGTGGGGGGAGAAAGATATTTAAAGAGAACGTAGTGATGCGGCATTGCACAGACGAGGTGGCCATGAGAAGCTGGTGGTCCCTGGGGCCGGCCATCCTCCTCCACCCCAGGAGGGTGAGCCTTTCCGCTGAGCTGGCCCACTTCCACACCCGTCCTTAGTAAAGGGAAGGAAGACAGCTGCCCCCAGGGAGCGAGCCAGAAGCAGGGCCCAGGCTGCCCGGCTGATGGAGACCAAGGCTGCTGAGGTTTTGGAGAGATGGGGTCCTGGTGCTCTGTGGCTGTGGCTCCTTAGCAGTTTTCTCCTGGAAGGCTTGTGGCTTCTCCTCTCCATTCCTTTGCCAGCTTATAGGGCCAAGCAGTTCCTAGTTCCGCCCTGTGGGGACCTTCTTATCACCCCTGAGACCGGAACTTCCTGAGCTCCCCTGGCCAGGAAGAGTCTCTTCCCTGCGAGATGTAGGCAGTGACTATGACAGGGGTAACGGGAGATGGGGATGCCCGTCTCCACAGGCAGGCTGTTGCCCCAGCTCCAAGCCACGCAGCTTGTCCCCACCTCGGGCATGCCCACACACTGCCTCTGGGAGGGTGCCCTCCAGGGCCTGAGGGGGCATGGGGTCTGAGGCCTCCTTCCCTCTCCCAGGAGACCCAGTCAGCCTGCCCACTCCTGACCGCACACTTGGACGGATCGGCCTCCCGTGGGCCCCTCCTCCACCCCTTGCTGCTTTTCCATTTGCCTAATTACCTAGCAAAAGTTGCAATCTGGTTTGCTTTATTTTTGTATGTGAAGTAACTCCCAGAGCCCACTGTCCTCTATGTTCACTAGAGGGTGGCCATTGGTCATCTCCCCTTGAATGCACCCCTTCCCTCCTACGCGACATAGGAAACAGATGAGATCCGGTGTCTGGTTTGAGTTGGACAGTGGGCACCTGTCCCTGTCTCACTTCCGCTCTGACCCTCAGCATGCCCATGTGTGAAAGGCACCTGGGCATAAGGCACTGGTGGTGTGTAAGGACGTGAGGTGCTCATGGCTGCTGGCACTGGGACCTCCAGCCACCCACAGTCCCATTCTCACTCTGCAAAGGGGTCAAGGTCAAAATGAGCTTCCTTCCTGTGATCCAGGAGGAGGTGATGACCAAGTTCCCAGCTGCAGGAGAGGTGGCAGGGTGGGAGGAATCTCCCCATTCCAAAGGAGGCCAAGCTGCTTCTTTGGGGTGAGGAACCCACTCCAGAACAAGGTCAGCGGCTGATCCCAGAGCTGAGTGGTCCTGGGATTACCAGGCCAGTGGACCTGCCCAGAGCTGGAGGATCAGCCTGCGGGAAAAACAGCTAAGGGGGTCTGGGCTGCTGCCAGCCTTTGTGGCCCCTTCTGAGAGGATGCACCCCCTTCCCCCACTTTTCTGTTTTGGGAGGGTTTTTTGCTTGGTTGGTTCTTTTTTTTTTTTTGCACTTGGTCCGTGCTGGACAATGGAGCCCCACCTGGTCAGCCGGTCAGTTCCACTCCTGGGCTCCCACGCACTAGCCCAAGGTGGCCTCTTTGGGGCTTATATGGTTTGAGGAATCACTTTTTTAAAAGAAAAAAGGAAGAAGTTTAAGCGTTTTAGTTTTTTCTGTCTGCATCTCCTCCCAATTTAGCCCAGCTAAGGACTCAAACTGCAGGAGAGGGGCTCCCTGGCCCCCCCTGGTGGACAGTCCCCAAGATGCAGAAGCAGGGAGACTGTTGGGTGAGGGCCGGGGACCCTTCCTCTCAACCTTCCCGCCCTCTCAAAGGAGTCAGTGCTCCAGCAGTGAGTGCCTACTGTATGCAGAGCATCAGTTAGGCGAACGGGAGGGTGGAGGGCCTCCCCCAGAGGCCAGGTGAGAGGAGCGAGGTGCCCCCGCCTGCCCTTGCTGGGCACAGAGAGATGCAAATTGCTTTTCGTTGGTTTTAATTTAAAAACACAAAGGCCTAAATAAATATGTATCTTATAATTTTTTTAATTTTTGAAAAGCTCATTTAATGAATCGTGCACGAAGGAATTCTATATATATAAAGTATACGTATATAGCTCTATATTTGGGGAGGGGCACTGTCTCTTTTTCTCGCGCTCATTTTTAAAATGAAGTGGTGTTGCCTTGTCTGTGGTCCAACCATCCAGCTCCCAGCTGGCTAAACGTCGTCTCCAGCGGTCAAGACGGGAACGTAGTAGGACTGGCAGGAGCCGGAAGTCGGGCGGCCCCTGCCCGCTCCTCCCCGCCAGGACTTCCGGCGGGGAAGGGCTGGTTTTCGGTGTGGGTTGGTCTTGTCGTTCCGGTTCCGTGGGTTCCGGGCGGGGGAGGGTGGGTTCGGCTGGTGACTGTCGTGTGTGTTTGTTCTGCTGCTCTTCAGTATTGTATCGATGCCAGGAAATGGGAGTGAAAAGCCTCTTTTACCCCCAAATAAATTGTCACATTCCGAAGCCGAGGCCCTGCCCCGGGTGGGTGCGTCTGTCTCTTTCTTTGAAGCAGCGTCGGGCGGTGGGTAGCCCCGCGGGCCGGGCATCCCGGGGCCCGGCGCCGCCTCTGTGCAGCCTGGGCACGCGGCAGGCCGGTGCCCTCCCTCCCACCATGGCCCCAGACTCCGAAGGCCACGGCCGCCTGCCCTTCTTGCAGCCTTGGGGATAGTAGGTGGCACGTGGGAGGGTGGGGTCCTTCACTGTCCCCCCAGGTGCAGTCACAGCACCCAGGAGAGGAAGGGGCCTGCAGAGTGGTAGCCCAGAGCTCAGAGAGGGCATGTCGCCCTTGCCAGTGGTCTGCACGGTACGTCCCTGTTTGGTAGCGAGGAGCTGCCCCACGGCTCAGGGAATGGGGGTCCTTTGCACTTGTTCTGGTGCTGTGTGACCCGCCGATCACACAGCTCTCTCCTCTGTGGGCTCAGAGCAGCAGCCCCAGGCACCCCACCTGCAAACTCCTGAGGTGCAGGCCCTGCACAGGTGTCACTTTGCCCGCCCTCAGCCCTCTTCCTGCTCCCAGGTGGTGAAATCCCATGTCTGGCCTCTCCGGGTCTCCCACCCTGCATCCCGCCAGTCCAGAACCTCCCCTTTGGCAGTGCACCCTGCCAGTCTCCAGTCTTGCCTGCACCTTGCCACGACTTCCACACCAGGCCCCAGAGGCCTAGAGGCCTCCTTCAAACAGGGAGCCCACAGCTCTCAGGATCCCTTGCAAAGTCCTCAGCCTGCAGGGGTCTCCACTCCACCCCCCACACCCACACCCACACGTGCTCTCCTAAGACTGCTCCCATGCCAGGCTCTACGCTGGCTCCTTCCTTGTGATCTGGCCCAGCCCCTGCCCCTCCAAGGGCAGAACTGTCTTTGCCCCTCTGCTGTAGAAAGGGCTCAGCACCTGGCACAGAACCTGCCTTTGAGTCATCTCTGTCACTAAACTGGGAGCAGCTGAGAGATAGGTAGGGGACTTTAGCAGCCTGTCCAGCTATCTTGACATGCCAGTGGCCCTGTCCCCAGGCCAGCAAGCCAAATGGAAGCATGTTCCTCCAGAGATTGCTCCCAGATACATCACAGAGGCAGGGCAGACAGGTGGCAAGGGACTCAGAGGGGTGGTGCTGACAGGGCAGGAGAGAGGAGCAGAGTCCAGCCGTGGTCAGAGCTGGTCCTCCAAGGCACCCGCTCCTCCTCGCCACCATACCTCCTCATCCAAGCATCTGCTCCCAGGAAGCCCTCGGTGGGGACTTCACCACAAAACACCCTCACACCTCACACCTTGCAGGTACTGTGAGCCCCTCACTGTCTTAGCACACATTCCTCCCCAGTGCCCAGCCAGCCCATGCGTCATGAACAGAGGTCACAGCCAGAGGAGGGCAGAGAGGCGAAGTGATCAGTTAGTTCCTTTGCCCCAAATGGCCCACCTCTTCACAGTGGGAAAGCCTTGCTCGCTCCATGCTGGTCTGTTTGCCCTGAGCCCCAAGCTCTGGAGATTGAGGACATAGGACTGTCCCCAGAGACAGGTACAGCCCAACGTGAGTCACTACTGCGCTATCACAGATCTTGCCTCTACTCAGCGGTGAGTCTGTTCATTGGTTGAGAGTTAATGAGTGTGTCCATGGCAACTTCTCAGAGGAGCCGGAAGCTGTGATGAGGACCAGCGCCCACTGAGGAGAGCAAGGGGGGAGGTGTAGAGAGCTGGACGCAGCTCCCGGGATGAGGCAGGTGGGCTGTGCACGGGGTGTGCTTGCCAGGCTGTGCCCACCCTGGCCCCACGCTCGATGTGTCCTCTTCCTGGCCTTGTGCTGGGGTGAGGGTCTGTGATGGGTGGAGCTTAGGTTTGGGGCAAGGTGAAGATGACTAGTTTTGCAAAATCTACTCTGTCATTCTCTAAAAGCTGAAACATACTGGGTTTTCAGTCCTGATCCAGCTCCTCCTGGAGTGAAGAGGGGTTCAGAGAGGCTGGGACAAAACTCTCCCCTTCCGACCAACATCATGAACCGATTCTGCACCCTCTTTGTTCCAACTGCTGGCCTCTGAGCAGAGACACTTCAAAAGGCCAGGCACAAGGACATCTGAGCCACAGCGGTTTGCAAAGACAGCCACAAGGGAGAGGCGTGGACCTGGCCTCCTGACTCCAGCTCTGTGCATCTGTAAGCTGTGAGCTTGGGAGAGGCCTAGGGGGAGACAAAGGCTGCTCAGGGCTGAGGTTTGAAATGATCCTAATGAGGGAAATGAGGCCCAGACACTGACAGAGGCAGTGGGGACAACAGGGAATCGCCAGAGTCAAGGGACGTTGGGAAATTTTAGGATTTGGTGATCAGAGTTTTTAGGATTTGCCTTTAGAGTTCTCCAGTTTTCAAACACAGCTGGGTATCAGGTTAGGCAAGGAAGCAGGTGTTGGCACTAATGGATGGGTTCACCTCAGCTGTGAGATGACAGGTCCCCAGCCAGCCAAGAAGGGCCACCGAGGACGTAGACATTTAGCTCTCAAGGCCACTGGGAAACTCTAGGAGCGGATATCCAGCACCCCCTTCCCAAGTCATGCTCTTCATCACATTGAACGGAGGGTAAACTGAGGCAGGGCTAGAGGACAGTTACCCACATCAGACAAGTGAGGACACAGGGTCTGGGGGATGGGGGATGGAGGCTCAGCCAGGTCTACAGCGTGAGGGAGGAACCTTCTGTCATATTAAAGACAGAACCGTGCTATATTAAAGACACCGGATAAAATCAAATGAACTGAGTTTCCAAGACCATTAAAAAGTACTCCCCAGGGACCACCAATCGACAAGTCAAACCTCAGAGTGACAAACAGGTGCTGATTCTTTGGGTACCCTGGTGGGTCAGTGGGGAGCACTGGGGTGGGGGCCAGAGTAGAGGGAGGGTTTTGGCTTCTGCTGATGTTGGTAAGCAAGGAGCTTGAATGTGACCCCTCTGTGGAGATGGGGACACGGCCAAGGGTCCTCTTCAACAGGTTCAGAACCAGGATACCTGGATACAACTGGACCCACCCCAGGTGAGAATGCAAAAGGTGGGCAGGGAATCACCCTTTAGCAAAAGGTGATGTCACATAAACTGCCTGTCTCAACTCTGGCTCTGTTGGAAGCATAAAAAAGAATTTTCTTTTGAGGAATTGTAACTCTAGACCGTCCCTGACAAATCTGAAGTGTAGATTTTTATTTTTCAGGTGGTCCCAGAACAACTTAATCTAGAAATGAATATAAAACCAACCTGGAATGGGCTACACTGTACAGCTTCAAGGGCCCTACCTCCCAGGCTGCACACCCACCCACAGCAGGCTACATGGGACTCTCAAGGATAAAACCCTAGTAAACATAAGCTCACAATCCAAAATCACAAAGCCCCCAAAAAACAAGCCACCAAGACAAACTCAGAAAAACAAACCACGTATATAGGGTTCAGCACCAACACATTATTTCCAAGCATGCATCTAATACTTCCAAAAATTATCATGAATATCATGTAGTACTACATAAAACAAATCTCAAATGTCAAGAAATTGGCATCACAGATCATGTGTAATTGGATTAAAAAATTCAGTAGCAATACATTGCTGGTGGGACTGCAAATTGGTGCAACCATTCTGAAAGCATTGTGAAGGTTCTCCAGGAAACATGAAATGGAACAACCATTTGACCCAGTTATCCCAGTCCTCGGCATATACCCAAAGGACTTACAATTAGCCTAGCATAGTGACACAGCCACATTAATGTTTACAACACCTCGATTAAGAATAGCCAAGCTGTGGAACCAACATAGCTGCCTTCAATAGATGAATGGATAAAGAAAGTGAGGTACATATACACGATGAGATATTATTCAGCCATAAAGAAAAATGAAATTATAGCATTTGCCAGCAAAAGGATGGAATTGGAGAGTGTCATGCTAAGTGAAATAAGCCAAACCCTGAAAACCAAAGGCTGAATGTTCTCTCTGATATGTGGATGCTAATGCACAATAAGTGGTAGGAGTAGGAGAGGGAAGAATAGAAGTTCAGTGGATTAGACAAAGGGGAATGAAGGGAAGAGAGGGGGTATGGGAATAGGAAAGACAGTAGAATGAACTAGACATAACTTTCCTATGTTCATATATGGATACACGACCAGTGTAACTCCACCGCATGTGCAACCAAACCAACGGGAAGTTACTGCAGGTGTGTGTGGTATGTCAAAACACATCCTATGTCATGAAGGACTAAAAAGAACAAATAAAAAATCTAAAAAATCAATAGCAAGCAATAATCAAAACAATGTTGCTCTGACATAAAGACAGACATCTGGACCAATGGACTTGGGCAGGGTCCGGAATGTAACCTTCCCACATGTCGAGTGATTTGGGGCAAGGAAGAGTTGCAGGACTATTTGAAGGCAGAAGGACAGTCCACCCATACTGCTGGGAAAACGATTTCCATGAGGAAAAGAATGAAGCTGGGTCCTCCTCACCTAGCAGTGGCCCCTTGGGATCCAGGGGGTTGGCTGCAGCCCACCCCCAACATTTCACAGCCTCCTGGTGCTCAATTTTTTAAAATGACATAGTATTTGCACATAACCTGCACTCATACTTTCATGGTTTGTCACCTCTAGATTATTTATAATACCAAAGGCAATGTAAATGCCGTGTAATACTATCATACTGTGTTGTCTAGGGGATAACAACAAGGGAAATGTCAGCATGGATGCAGGGTTCATTTTGTGTGTGTGTGTGTGTGTGTGTGTGTGTGTGTG